CCTTGGCATATTGGGACAATGCTCTAACCAACTAAGCTACCTGGCCAGGGCTAAAACCATTCGTAACTTCCAAATAAATAATAGCAAAATTATGCTTTCGTTGCTATGGCTGATGTAGCATCATCCTGTGTCATCCTGTGCACCAAAAGCTGGAGTTCAATTCCATCCCAAGAGGTCCCACCAAGGCCCACTACAATCCACCTCCTTAGTCCTGTTTCCGGAATTTTCCAACTTTCCACGACAATCGTGGGTACTTTTCCCCAGGGTCTTTGAGCACAAGTGAAAGTTCACACGGAGCCATGTGCACTTTCTGTACTTAGCCCCCAGTGTTCTCTGCCTCTTCTGGGAGCTGTTGGGGAAATAAGAAATCGAGACTCAAAGGAACACGCATTAAGTTTATTATTAAGAAAAATATCTGAAGGAGAAACAAGATGGGGGCGTAGGTAACAGCTGCACCCGCCGCCTCCCACAACCACATCAAAATTATAACTAAGTTACAGAACCACCATCACTCAGAGCCTCCTGAAATCTGGCTCAACAGAAGCCCTACAATGAGGGAACTGAAGAAGCACCGAGACCTGTAGGAGGGGCACAGACTTGGGTGGATCGGGGCTGGATCCCAGGGACTTGGCAGTGGGCCCACACCCGGTGCCACGGGTTAAACCCGGGAGGGAATCTCAGCAGCGGAGGTTTCCCAGAGGAGCAAAGGGTCCCAGCCCCACAGCAGGTCCCCAGCCCAGGGCTCCAGGGCCGGGAAGAGAAGTCCCCACAACTACAGGCTGTGACAACCAGCGAGGACTGTCGCTGAGGGTCGCAGAGGCTGCAGGAGTCCCAGGCTTTCCTCTCAAAGGGCCCGCGCACGGACTCACCCGGACGCTCCCTCTGAGCCCAGCGCCGGGAGCAGCCTGAAAGGACCCGGTACACTCGGGGAGGAACCAACCTGCCTGAGATCCCGGCAAGAGGCGGAGGGCGGCTTCCTCCCAGACAGAAGGGCTGGCGGAGGCCCTGGCTCCTGTGGCGAGTCCTCCCCGCACAGCCGGCAGGCAGGCGCCATGTTTGAATCGCCAGCACCTGATTCACACCTTTGGCCCCGCCCCGTGATTCCCGGAGGCCCCGCCCCTCCCCACCTGCAGCTCATCCAGGCCATTTCCAGGGGCTTTTCTGTGCAAGTGGCCTCTCGAGCCTCATGCTTAGGACTTTCCTAAAATCTCTCAAACAAGCAGCGGACCCCATACGGCTTGATAAGTGGCCCCAGGCCTGGCTCTAGCGGCAGCTGCATTGGCTCACAGCTTGGCCTCTCCTGGACACCTCCAAGCCCAGCACAAGGAGCGGCCAACTACGGTTTGCTGTGTAGCTCATACTGGGGGGCCCTGGGCAAGGCACTGGCACAGGCCGACTTTGCACCTCCCAGGAGGCCCCAGAGACAGTGCACCTGGTGGTCAGATTCGACTATGCTGGATTACAACCCTACCACATCCACGAGTGACACACTCAAGGGGTGCACTTGGTGAACACCAAAGCCCCACTGAAGTAAATCCTGATCCAGAGGGGTGTCTCCAGCACAGCAGCTCTCTGGCTGTAGTTGCAGCTGGTCCTCACAGCCGATTGGCCTGGGGCTCAATTCCTCCCAGTGACGCCAACAGCAACCAAGGCTCAACTACAACAGGACAGTGCACACAGCTCACACAGGGGAGCACCTAGAAGGCCCAGCTCAGGTGACTGGGGAGGCTGAGCCACTGGACCCTACAGGACACCTACTACACAAAGCCACTCTACCAATTCCAGGAGACATAGCAGCTCTGCCTAATACATAGAAACAAACACCTGGAAGCAGCCAAAATGTGGAGGTAAAGAAACATGTCACAAAGGAAAGAACAGAAGAAATCTCCAGAAAAGGAACTAAATGAAATAGAACCAAGCAAGCTAACAGATACAGAGTTCAGAATAATGGTTATAAGGATGCTCAAGGATATTAGTAAGACTATTACAAAAACAAGTGAGACCATCAGTGACCTAATAAAGTACCAATTTGAAATGAAGGCTACATAACTGAAATGAAGAATAATTTACAGGGAATCAACAGTAGAGAAGAGGTCGCTGAGAATCAAATCAGCAATCTGGAACATGAGGAAACAAAAAACACCCAAGCAGAAGAGCAAAAAGAAAAAAGAATCCAGAAATATAGTGTAAGGAGTCTCTGGGACAACTTCAAGTGGCCCAACATTTGTATTATTGGGGTGCCAGAAGGAAAAGAAAGAGATCAAGAAATTGAAAACCTTTTGAAAAACTAATGACAGAAAACTTCCTCTACCTGGGGAAAGAAATAGACTTACAAGTCCAGGAAGCACAGAGTGTCCCAAACAAGAGGAACCCAAAGGGGCCCACAGCAAGACACATCATAATTAAAATGCCAAAGGTTAAAGACAAAGAGAGAATATTCTCTTAAAAGCAGCAAGAGAAAAGCAGTTAGTTACCTACAGGGAGCACCCATACAACTGTCAGCTAATTTCTCAACAGAAACCTTGCAGGCCAAAAAGGAGTGGCAAGAAATATTCAAAGTGATGAAAAACAAGAACCTACAACCAAGATTACTCTACCCAGCAAAGCTATCATTTAGAACTGAAGGTCATTTAAAGAGATTCTCAGACAAGAAAAAGCTAAAGGAGTTTATCACCACTAGACCAGCACTACAGGAAATGTTGAAGGGTCTTTTTTAAGAAGAAGCTAATGAACAAAAGAACCTGACAAACGAAATAGATCCAGAGACACTGACACATGTAACAGACCATCATATTTCAGAGGGAAGGGGGGTAGAGGGTGGGAAGAGATTAACCAAAGAAGTTATATGCANAAAGAGGGAAGGGGCGTAGAGGGTGGGAAGAGAGTAACCAAAGAAGTTACATGCATATGTGCATAATCCACGGACATGGTCAATAATGGGGTGAAGGCCTGGGGAGGGGGTGGGAGGGAGGTGGAGGG